CAGAGTGTCTTTTAACAAAGAACCGCTGTCGCGGGCAAAATTCCATGTCGGCGTGAAAGGGAAAAGAAATACTTGAGATAAAAGAAATTAATGAAACGCCTGCGTAACTTGCGGAAGAAATAGCGTGAAATACAAGAATATCGCGACCGTCGAAAGCTTTTGTCGAGCGAAATAGCGCGCTATATATTGTTAGAAATTAACGTAACGGATAGACATACTTATGTATTTTTTATATCGAATTTTGCATTTAGATTCGACTGTCTTTCCGAGTCGGATGCGTAATATTCGGCTAAAGTACATAAGCGCGAGTGAAACGAGCGCTAGTGAAATGTACATAACGGGGGCTCACATTGAGGAAGAAGGAAAGTTTTTGGTAGAAAGAATGGATACGTCTGTCGTATCGTCTGGTGACTTGCGAATATATATAAGCTTGAACTAAGCTCCTAAATTGTAACTCTTAATAAATGCTGGCAGCCACGAACCGCAGGTCTGAGTGCGTTGTAAATCATGTAACCCTCGTCGCTTCATGTTACTCCACGGGAGATTAATTTACGCGACTCGACGTGTTGTCGAAGTTATGAAAATAGCGCAAGTTCGGGAATCACGTTCGCAGACAAGTGAAAAAATGTAATACGAGCTTTCTGCGAGTTTAGAAGAATACGGCTATTAATAAAATCGGTTACTAAAACGGCTTGTACTGTCATTCTTATTGCCGAATAAACTCAATGATAACTTGATTGAGAAGTTGACTTATTTCAGCGTCAATCCAGTATCGCAATGTATCGCGCGCGAAAGAGAATTATCGTTTCAATCTTGGAGGAATTGTCAGGAGGAACGTTTCCCCGCCGATGTTGGGCTCAATTTTATTTAAGCCATATCAAACGCGAATGCGCCCGGCAGTTAAGTTGTCTGGAAAATAACGAAACGACCATAAACTTCAATTTCGACGAGTGCAACAAAACATAAAGCAGAATACCTATCGATATATCGCAGGACTAAAGCTTAATCCATTAAAATCCACTTTCCGCAACCTGGATATCGTCGAACAATTTATCATTTCGCGTCAAAGGCGAATAAAGAGAAAGAAGTGAAAGGTAAGGAGAATAGCATTCGGAAAGGTGCCGACGAAAGGTGCACAGCGCATCTCTCACGATAACCAGATTGCTGCGAGAGAGAGAGAGAGAGAGGGAGCTCGTCCGGGTGGCTCGCCCGGAACAATCAGGGAGCCGTCTAAATTAATTACGGGCCGGCGAAAGAATTCCGCAAAGCGAGATGCTCGGCGAACGCATTGAGATCGACAGCAGCCTTAGGCGATCACGGAGAATGATCGCGAGGTCGCGTCGGAGAGAGAAAGACAGAGAGAGATACGGAAGGGGTGAGACGGGGGAGCGTTTATAATTGCTTCGCGAGATCCCTCCTTGATCGATCCCCTCAATAGAAAGAGACGCGTCGAGGCATGTCGCCGGCTGTCCCGCTCGCCCACCAACCGATATATGCGCTTGTTTTTCCGAAAACAAGTCTCGCGGCCCGTCCGACGTGCCGGCGCGTACCGTACGTGCTTTCCTTCTTCGACCATGCCGGGCGGATCGACGCATGCGTTTTTCCCGCGCGCCCGCGTACCCTTCGCGGAATTATCTTGGCCGTGAATCGAGCAGTCTTCCACGGTCGTTCCCGAGCTTGCTCGCGATCCGCGGGGGTGCGTCTCTTCGGATATATCTCGGCTCTCTCTCTCTCTTTCTCTCTCGCGAGCGCGGAAAATTTGTTGTTTTTTTTTTTGCGAATTTGTGATTGCGCGATGCGTTAAAACGCGATGCGTTAAAGCGCGACGGTGACGCGATTCGTAACGCGATATATTCGCGGTGAGAGAAGTCAGCCGCGGAAGGGGATCGCGCGGTGTAACACGGGGACACGTGTCGCACGAAGATAAGGGAACTGCATCGTGACGCACGTGAGACTCGCGTGAAATGTTATTATACTTTCCGCAAACTTCAGGTGGATCGTCCGTGTTAATGAAATTGATACCGGAGAACGTTTGGCTTATTCGTACGTTTGGACTCGCAAAGTGTGTGGCGCGTTCGGCGACGCGAAACGCTATTCGCACTCGTCGTTTTGTCATATATCCGGATTAATTGTCGCTGATAAGATCCGACAATGGAGCGTCGTCGCGCTGCGAGCTAGTTACGTCTCATTCACAGGTACTTGTTGCCAGATATTTTACTCGCGCGACACTGCTGTGACGTTCGAACTACTAAAAAGGGTAAAATAGGCGCCTGAAGCGTAAGCGTATTAATTACGAGTTGGACAGTGTGTATTCTACACGCGGAAACTCTCTCGGAACGGAATTTCGCGTAGCGACGCATGATTGCATTCAAAATTCCCTTATGATTAATGAGCAAAATTTCCGCTGGGGACGCACGGAACTATTTTATAATGAATAGTGTTTAAGTGGGTTGATAGCTGCTCAGAGATTCGACGGGATAAATTTTTAAATATAATCTCTTACACGATTGCTCTGAGAGAGAGGCACGGCAGGCCTCGGGAAAAACATGGATCGCAATGAGGCTGCGGCTTAACGATTATCTTTATAACGCACATATGAAGCGTGCAGGAACTAAGTTTAACGATCAATAGCGGCCTAACGCGAACAGCTATGTCTAGTGCCAAAGCTCTCTCTGTTGTGCATAAAAATTTTAATAGTGACCGAATTATCATTCATAAATTTGCATATTTAAATTGGAAAGCTCAATTAATCGAGCGAGCAGTGCGACAACTATCACAAATAACCAATTTATTTTCGCGTTACGCTAATTGAAATTCACGCAAACAATAAATTTGGAGCTTAATTGCCAGAATATTTAATGTCGCGATAAACAAACGGCAATAATTCGAAAATTTCCTCAAAGAAGGAAAATTCAATTCCAAATTCGACGTGGAATTGTGTCGCTGATTGCGAGATTGAAAATTGCGGCTCTAGGACACACTGTATTTCTGTACGGCTTTAATATGCGTAGCACATATCAGTCCCCCCTGCATCTTTACGGTAGAATAAATAGTGAAAAATAAAATACGCTTCTTGACGCAAACTTGTATTGAACTCTGGAAGAATCCCTACGTGCGAGAGCTCGTGCATAACTGACGCGCAGTAAGGGCTGGTGTGCGCGATTACTCGTTTAAAGGGTAGGTAATCGTTCACGCACGGGTAGCTTCGCGACGTATAGATACTACGCGCGTGTTCGAAACACGGAAAGGTTTGCGAATAATTTTCCAAGTTGCATTCGCAACTCTTGCGTCGCAGCTCTAGTCAAGCGTCAGGCGAAATGATCGAGATCAACTTTGAGGACAATTAACGCTTGCCAATCTTACATTCCACGATTCGTTTTAATTCGAAGCGATATTGATGTCCGTCGTATCGATGAAGAAAAGTAAAATTCTAATTTATATAATTTTCACCGGATATTTCTGACGTCCGTTATATCGACGAAAAAAATATATCAGCATTGGGATGAAAAATTCTCTCAACTCCAATTATTCCAGCAGTCGTGTGTGTAATATTTATATTTGCAAGACATATAAAAGCGCGACACGATGACCGCTTTCTTTTTAAACCCAACAGGATTCTATTAACATTCGAAGAGCATAGCGCAGATGTTTTGGCGTCCCAATCAATTCAACAATAGAGCTTTTATCGCGAAACATTAGTATTCGAAGAGGTAGTGCAGCGCAGGGAATATTTCATTTCCAGTGGCAGTAATCGCGACGCCGGGCGACTACATTCGCGGCATTCATTGCCGGCGACGCGTTGCCGATTAGTTCGGCGAGGCACAAGCGATAGTTTAATAGCCGCGCGTTCGCGCGCGAATAGCCGATATCGAGGAGAGGAGAAAAAAAGGGTGATCGAGGGAAAAGAGAGTGTCCACGGCGAGGGATGACGGCGGCTACGTGGGGTGCCGACGAGCGATGGTGGGGCTGGACGGTGGGCACAGCGGACGGCGCGAGTTATGGTGGCGAACGTCGCCGGCGGATGGTGGGGTTGAAAGGTGGCGCGGCCATTTACGGCCGTATGGGATAAACCCATCGTGCACCTGCGATCAGTCGCGAGAGTACGAAAGGAGGCTGCGACGCGCGGAGACTTGGGAGAACCCGGAAGAACCCGCCGGTGACGATGACGTCGCCGTCAGCGCGACACCGCGAAGCGATCGCGACGCGGGCACAAGCGGCCGCGGCAAACAGAATCTTCGCTCACGGCGAACGACAGCAAACTCGATTAACGAACTGATCTCGCTGCGACAAGTTTCGCGAGTAACTATTCCGCTCCGGGAAAGCGGAGAAAGATCGTTGCGCGATAAAACGGGGAAGAGCTCGGGCCGCGCGTAATTGAGACGGATCCGCGTATCCTACAAACGTTTTGTTTGAACGAGAAGTTTGAAGTCTGGGATGCGGCCGCCCACGCCGAGCGCCGTAGCGCCGAGGACTGTCGCGACGGGAAACTGGGTCTAGCGCGGATAAACTTCCTCGCGCGGAGAAGATTACTGTCGGCTGTATAGAGAGCCGTATTGTAGGAGAGCTACTCGCTACTCAGAAACAGCCGCTCGGCGGAAAGTTTTTCGCGAACGCCTGATGTCGGCGGTATAAATCACGTTGACGATCGAAAGATATGGGGAGTGATCGCGCGACCGACTCGTGAATAATACGCGAGAAACAAAGTGATATCAAAAATGAGTTCTCTGCGAAGGACGCTCAATCAGTCGACGAGGGAGGGCACGTCCACGAGGAGGCACGCGCTCTCCGGGCCCACCACGAAGAGCATGAAGAACGTCGCTCATGCGAACGCGGTGCCGGCTTCGCCGCTGCGACACCGAACCAAGTACGAGCTGCGAAGCATCAGCTTG